GCACTACCATTGTTAACACTAACATTGTTAAATCTGAGATACACGGTCCTACATGTTACCAATGTCTGTGAGATGGTGTAATATTGAAGCCCTAAAAAAAAAATCGCGCTTCAAAATGATCAAGAAATGCCTCAAAAAAGTAAAAATCTTTGAGTGACCGGTTTTACCATATATACTCATTTCCCCAATAGACTGTAGTGTTATGAAAACCGTTCGGCGAACGGTTTTCAAAATTTGTAATTCCAATCATTAATATCTTGATAATCAGACAGGCGATCGGCTTGTAAAAGTTATGGAGTTCCTGACTGACATAAAGGTTTATAATTATCATTGCAGCATGAGCTAAATCAAGGATTATTTTTAAAGGTTCTAAGACAAAGTTACCGGATCCCTTTAACTTGCCTTTGTAATGCAAGTTAAGTTCATTCAATCACATTACTAAATAAAACTAATATAAAGATGAAAGAGTTTGAATAGACTAAAAGCCTACTTTGGTTATAAATAACCCTGATTAGACACAGAGAGAGGAGATAAATTTAGGGGTGAGGCGGAGTCATAATGTTTTATTTTTGTTTCAGTCTCTCAGGTCTCAGTACATCAATTTTCAAAACTAATCTCCTAAATTGGTTTCGGTATATGGTTCTCGCTATTAGCCCCAACGCTAAATTTGTCCGCAACAACTCAACTTGAAATTATTATTCCTCTATGAATACATGCTCGTATAATTGGGTTCACTAACATCAAATACTGTTTGGGGGAACATGTCACTGGTATTCAACACGGGGTAACTCGATTTTCCTTAAGGTTAATTTCCCCACAGGTTCGTAATTCCAAAAGTTTATAATTTCGAAAGTTTATTTTTTCCGAACGCTTATTTTCCCGAAGATTCGTTTATCCGAAGTTTCATTTTTCCAAAGGTTCATAATTCCGAATGTTAATGATGCCGAAAAACAAAACTTCCACACCAGTGCGTTCATAATTCACAAAATGAAATGGGGTTGATAATTCCGAACATTTTGATGGTTTACTCTGAAGGCTTGGTCCTCTGAGAGTTCGTAATTCCAAGAATGATATGGAGATATAACTCAGAAGGTTCTTATTTCCCCAAAATTAAATATGGTTCATAATTGCGAGAATAATGAAAAAGAGAATCGTAATGAAAAAGGTTTTTACAATTCTTGAAAATAGAATAGGGTTAATTTTTCCGAAGGTTCGTGATTATAGAAAAGATACAGAATACAAATCTGTGTAAAAAGGAATTATAAACCTTTGGAATCCTTAAAGCTCTTTCATTTTCGGAATCACGAACTCTCTTCGATTTTAGGAATCAATAACTTACAAAATTACTAACCTTCGGTTTATTAACCATAGTGTCCTTTAGTTACGTAATTTAACTGTCTTCATGCACATTTCTAAATACAAATTATTTACCACTATATACATAATAATAATAATAATAATATGGATATTTATATAGCGCCGGTATCCGCCAGGCTCTGACGCTCATGGCGCTGTACATACATGTATTACTATCACAAAAATATAACATTCTTAACTAAAATAAAGTAAACTAAAACAACACAAATTATTACGCTACATTGACATGATTAAATAGCACTGTTTAGAAAGAGATGGGTTTTTAGAGCAACTTTGAAGGCATGAAGGGTAGTTAAATTACGAATACTAAGTGGCAGCTTATTCCAAAGGGACGGACCAGAATGAGAAAAAGCTCTATCCCCCCAGGAACTGCGCGTCTTAGGGACAACTAATAAGGAGGATTGAAATTTAAGCTTCCAAACTGAATTGAAGTATACAGGAATAAAACTGATATCAGGTATCATTAATCTTAGGTACGACATAATCAACCTTCCGGTTCCCAAATTGTTAATTTCTGTCACAAAATACTCACATGACCTCCACCCCTACTCCTCTCCTTGACTTGTTGCAGAGAGCGCGGCTACACAAAATAGTTTTTTTGTGTGAGATAATGAAAAAATGAGTGTCAAATTTGAAAGAACATACAATTTTAATGACAAAGTCATTTTCGTTTAATCAAAATCGATTCAAAGACGGCAGAAATATCCATAAATATAACGATTTCTAATAATTGAACCAGCCGTTGAAGACATGAGATAGCGCCTTATACGTTTCATTCCAATCAATGCCGATGTTGGCTTTTTGGTGGCTTTCTGGTAGTGGTTATAATACGCACAACCAACCGGCCCATGTATTGATATTATTAATTGATTGATTAACGGTCACCGTATTTGTTGAAAGTGGTGCTAAATTGGTATGATCGTATTATTGGCTAAAATTCACACAATTTGGGGTCTAACATTACCTTCATAGCAATTTTAGGTCTTAAAAGGGCACTAGAAAGGTCATAAATAAGATTAAGAGCAATAACCATGCACTTTGAAGGCATTTTCAGTCTGAAACAAGAACTCAAAGTTCCCTGTAATGTTTTAGAGAGATATATTCCTATGTTGCACTTTTCCATCGCATCATGAGCGTGATGGAATACCAGGGGCCCATGGTTGCCATGAAGACATAAGTGACATTTGCACGATCATCAAAATGCCAGTGCTGTCTAAAATGCACCAGCATTTCTAAACAATAATCTTGTACCGTATCATTTACAAATGAACCAGAAGTAATTGATACCTAACATATGTTTTAGTATCACGCACACCTTTCTACGTGAAAGACTGTTTCAACTGATTTCTTAAACATTCATAATGCCTCTATATGGAAAGGAAAATCGCGGTTTAACCACACCCTTTTTGACATTTCAATCAATGTGATTTTTTTCTTCTTCTAATACATACGCGGGTGTCTATTACTGAAAAAAAAACGCTGGAAATGAACAAATCCATTCTGCTTCAGTATATGGTGAATACAAAACACAAGACCGATAATATAATTCGATGTCAGAACTTCACCTAATATTACAAACATCATCTTGACGACGAATAGAAAAATCCGTTGAATTGTAAACAGTTGCCATTAAGAGCTTATAAGCTGTAAAGTTGATAGGCCGTGTTAACGATAAAATAATGAATTATAATATAAAGCAACTGTTTAAACTTTATTAACCTATCCACGCGGTTTACTATCAAGAGAATGGTGGATAATTTTCAGTCCGAAATTAAGGAAAGTTTAATCTATTCATTCATACATCTTAAATATGCTAATTTGATATGGATATGTCTATCCACTTCATGATACATTAAAAAAAATCATCAACAACATTGGCAAGGTAATATTTTCAACATAGAAATTGCGCATCATCAAGACTGTGAATAATCAATTTGATTATCAAATCCATTAAACCAATCTTGCTCTTTCAAGGCAACCAGTTGAAAAACGGATATTGAAAATGACCCACGTTTTATTTTTAATGCGAAAAACTCCCTTTTCCCTTCCATACCATATCCCCCCTTTCCCATTCTATCTTCATTACCTACTGCTTGTAACTGTTATCTGCACACCGCTTTGCCATCATCTTTGTATCTTCCATTGTACGCCTTTTCTCTCTATCCCCCCTCAAATTTCCATGACAAAGGTTATCATTCTCGTTTCAAATCTTAATAATCGGCTTTAATGCAAACTAGTTATTTATTTACAAGATAATTAAAGAAACGTCACACAGTGAAAAATGTAAATGGAATCACACCACATCTCACATTTGTTAATTTGAGCAAGAAATCATACCCTTCACCAAATTTAAAGCTTGCCGACATAAAAACATAGACAATTGATATTCGACAAATTTGTTTTGTTACCGCCTAACAATAACCGAACAACAGCCAACCATTCGCCAATATTTTTACGAGCGTTCGCAAATCATTTTACGGAAATCTTTGATAATCGGACAATCTTCGTACGACATGCATCAACTACCTTGCAAACCATCAGCAACTGATCACCTACCATAAATTCTTGCAAATTTGTTGTCGATTGTCGCAATTTTTTCTATTTTTCAGAAGTTGGCAACCGGTCGTGAGTCTATAGTTTGCAAATAGAAGGGGGAAAAGATCGCAAAAAGCTGTCGGTACAGTACACTTTAAAAGTGAAAAGATTTGATAATAGCCTATGTCTGACAAAATCGTTCTGCATTTGCATCACTAATGCGAAGTTCTGAATAGATATCAACGTACCATTGTAATTCATTCCTCTGGATCAGTTAAAGGTCATAAAGATAATTCTAACCATGATTCGTAGTAACAATGGTAGGATAAACATCTGTTACCTCATACCATAATGAGTAAGTTCAATTTAGGGTTGATTATATTTTCATAAGTTGCTTTGACTTTGACGTGGTACGACCGAGTATATTACATCGCAGCACATTGGATATTGAATCGGCGAGCACGCATTGCTAATACGTACCCACTATCGAGATTTTGAATTCAACAATTATAATGCGATTGCGAAGCATACACTGATTGAATTCACCAGATAGGTACAGTATGTATTCTCCACCCGTACGTGTTATCATTTAAGATGACAGTGTGTAAGCTGCTGAGGATTGTGCCAGTGGGAACTTTGGTGTACATTAACGCCAAAGCACTGACAGGGAGCGAACGGTTTAGTTTGCGTTAGGGTTCATGCTCAAACACATCTACATCTCTGCGTCACGCAAGTCGTATAATTGTCGTCGTTGCGAAAATAATAACTTGCAATCCGCAAAGCTGCCATCAGTGGTTTGCTGAGTGTCGGAGAGTTGGATGCAAGGAGAAGCTGGTAGACCATCCAAAAACTGATTTCTGTCATTCTGTCACTGGTGACTTGACAAGCAAACCTGCTCTTCAGTCCTCTTCAGAAAGACATCATTGATTCACTGTTACCACATCTGATGCACCTGTGAGCTTTTCAATGTAACTTTGCACTTGGAAGGAATGCGGAAATAATATTTTTATTTTGTAAGAAGCTACTTGAACCTTTAACGTCATAGGCGAACAAGGGAAACTACACAAAACAACGACGCATTTGGTGTAGATCAGAACTTCATCGCCTGAATGCTTTAGAAGTTGGACACCCGCTTTCAGGCATTTTATAGGATCAGAACTGTGAATACTTCGTTTGCAAACATGGCAAACACGGGTCTTACAATTCCCGATGAAGGTTACGACTTATCGCAGAAGAAATTGAGTGTCAACCTTAGCAATGTATCTCTGGCCGGTATTCAAAATCCCAGTGCTGACAAGAAACAATCGGCCCTGGTTTCCTTCAAAATGGGCATTTGCAACATCTCACCTTATTCTCGAACAGGGAAACACCTCCAGATCCTGAAGATGGTCCTGTTTCCACTTCTACCCGCTGCGGCCTTGCTGATATTCGTCAGTATCGAACTGGACAGTACCTTGCGTGAACGGCAGAAACTGGATGCGTCCAGGACAGAAATAGCCCTCACAAAAAGCGTTGGGGAATTGATCCACAGCTTACAAGTTGAACGCTCGCAAACCACTCTGTTCATGGTACAATCCCACAACCTGACGCCAACTGAATCCGTAGCTTGGGAAGAACGTCTGGAGGAGTGTTTTAACAAAACAGATGAAGCACTAACAAACCTGCCAGAATGGCCTCTAAGCAACACTGTAAGTTCTGATTCTGCTCTCTACGACTCAAAGGGGACGTTCCAGTCGCATTTGAACGAAGAGCGAGTCATCCTCGGTACCGTTGACGTGGCAGAAGAGATACTCTTCTACTCCAAAATCAATGAGATTTTGATTGATTGGTTCATATATGCCATCCGAACGAATGTCCACGAAGGTCTATGGAATGAGATCGTGTCCTATCAGTTCTTGGTCCAAGCGAAAGAGAACGTGGGACTCCTTATGGCCTACGGCGAAGAGGCCTTTTTAAATCGCACTCTCCGAACTGAGGACTTTCTCGCCTTCATGCGAAACGACGTCCTCCTAGTGTACAACCTCGCATCATCTTTTAAATTTTCCGGCGACTACGCCAAAGATGTGTACGACAGCCTGATCACGAGTTCTGGCATTGCAACCACTGTACAAAGCATGCGGGATGAAATCGTACATACTCTCAGTGTAAACTCGTCAGGTATAATCACCTTATCATCAGCGCACTGGTTCGGGAACCTCAGCGGATACCTCGATGGCCTCAAGAAGGTTGAGGACGTCGTCATTAACCACATCGATGATATCATCGATAAGAGCATCAGCGCTAATGTCGACGAGGTCGTCATTGACGGTATCCTCTTCGGGATCATCGCTCTCGTGGCACCCATCATTATTTTCTTTGCCATCAGGACGACGTCGAAGATCCAGGCGTATGCCTTCGGACTGACCGTCAAGACCGAGCAGCTGGCCAGTGAAAAGAAGAGAAGTGATTCTCTGCTTTACAGGATGCTGCCTAGAACTGTGGCCCAACAGCTCAAACTCAACCTGACGGTCCCTGCCGAGAATTACGACAGCGTCACGGTGTACTTCAGCGACATCGTGGGTTTCACCAAGCTGTCAGCCATCAGTAGCCCAATGCAGGTAGGTATTTCAATGGAAGAGATGATGTTGATAGAAATAAGAGGCATTTGGCGAATGCTGAAAATCAATTAAAATAAAAAGGAAAAAATTGAAATAAAAATTGAATCGAAAAAAATGAATTAAATATTTCTATTTTTTGTTTTCAGACATACATTTCAATGTATATGAAAGTAAATTTGGAACAATTTTGCTAGTTCAGTGTACACAATTAAAACGTGTGAAATGATCTTAACATGCTGAATTTTGTGAATTTAAAATTCAGAATTTACTTTGCAAAAGTGAGTGATCGAATTTAATTTGGCATGAGGACGTTATATCATTATATAATATGCACAATTAAGCAGGAACGGAACATTATTACATGTATTAATATTACCATTTGTGTATGTTATGCCCATTATTATTCTAACCTTGAATTGTATTTCCGTAATAGCAATGTTTTTGACCTTAATTCAATCACTCCTTTGATGAGACGGACATAACCTTTAAAAAAAAAACTTTAAATAATACCCAGTAGAAAAGAGTCCGTTATGTAAAGATGAATATTTGATTTTTGAAAGTGAAAAATATAAATCACGCAGTGTTGATAAATCAATTTATTGATCTGTAAACAAAATAAAAAAATAAAATAAAAAGACAATGACAACAACAAACAAGGAAAGAAACTATCTGCACAACCTTTCTTGATTAATACTTCAGGTATTAATAATCCGCAGTTGTCACTCTCAATCCAAATGTAAATGACTACCTGGCAATAACTGGGATATACAATATTATTGTCGTTATTATTATTATTATCATATTAATATTCAAAATTGCATTATTGCCGAGTCAATCCAGCGATTATGGTAGGGGTCTTTGAGATGTACATACAGCCCAATAACATATTGCATGCTAACACAAAACGTTTGTTTGAATACAGAATTCAATAGATGGGTCACTTGTAGAGAGAGAGAGAGAGAGAGAGAGAGGGGGAGAGAGAAATAGAGAGAGAGAGATATATAGAGAGAGGGAGAGGGGAGAAAGAGAGAGAGAGAGAGAGAGAGGGGAGAAAGAGAGAGAGAGATAGAGAGAGAGAGAGAGAGAGAGAGAGTGAAAGATCGAGAGAGAGAGAGAGAGAGAGAGAGGGGGGGGGGGGGAGAAAAGGGAGAATTTACAGAAAGAAAGAAACAATATCAATAGCAAACATTCTGTTCTCAATTATTTGACTAACCGAATTTTCATCAGGGAGAATACTTATGTGTAAACACTCTCCACAGATTGTGAACGTTCCATAATTCAATTCAAATTCATTTAATTTATTTATTCAACGTGATTACGACACTGAAATTTGCTCACTCTAAGAAAACAGAATGTTCTCCAATGGGTAGCGATAACAACCAGCAAAAGGAAAAAGCATTTCAATAAGTTTAATGAAATGGAGAAGAGTGGCGATTTCTGTCTCTTTTGCCCTCTTTAATTATGTTTCCACTGTTGTGCTGTGAAATCCATATGATTGAACATAAAACTTACTGTGTTCACTTCGGATAACATAATTAGAAAGGCAGTACTATGATCCATACTTTAATATTTAAGTAATAACTCAAAATATCCAAGTTTCCCTCTTTGTGAAGATGCTGTACTACCCCAGGCGATAAGTCCGTAATTCAAGTAGAATAAACGTGGAATACATGAAGGATAACATAATGTTCAAAACATTTGACAAATACATTGGAATATACTTGTATTTCTTGCCGCATTGAACATAAATGGCAGCAGAGGTTGAATTTGAAAGGATCAGGTCGCAAGAAAACAGATTCTTGGCGATCATTAACTTTTTGCAATTGCTAGAAAAGGTGCCTATTTGAATAATAGTTCGAAGCGTAATGTCTCAGGGAGGCTATATATGCACCATCTGTTGATGTAGTCTGTTGGCTATCAGTTGGACATGCAACGGAATTTATTCCTATTTTTAAGTTACAACTTTTTTTAAACCCATCTCGTTTGCTGGCTCTGCCCCCTTTCTTCCTAGTTAAAATCTGGGTAAGTCGCCTTTTCAACTCGGCCGCTCACGAATGTTCGGTATTATAGTTATGCTATTTTTCTACCTATTCATTTATATTATTTCTACAAGTCGGTTGGTATTTTGATCGAGAGGCTCGAACGTATCTCCTGAGACCACGGAAGTGTTTTTGAAGAAATTCACCGGGATTATAGGCTATAGTGTGATTTGTTTTCAACAATTGTGGGAATAAGGTCTATCTTAACTTTTGTCATGACAACGGATGAATATGAAAAATGAGAAAGTACACAGTTGCGTGTTAATGTAAATTAAGTCTAATTTGGAATAACAATTCAAAGGCGTAGCACATAAGGAAGAAAGACCAAACATACCGGAAAAAGTGCATGTGAGGGTATTGCCCGACTCTGGGGTCAGTGTGTGTTTGTGTTTTTTTTTAAGAGAGCAAAATGGGGGAGTGGGAGAGGAGGGGGAAAGAGAGATATAGGGAGGGAGAAGAAGAGAATTATTTTAAATTTTAATGCAGGAGTGTAAAAAAAGTGAGGAGGATGGAGGGAGAAAGAGAAGCAAAAGGAACAGACACAGAAAGATGTGAAGAAGAAGAAAAAATACTGGAGAGAGGGTGGGAGGGGGATGAGTTGGCAAGAGCGGAGAGTGGGGGGGGGGGGGGGGTTAAGGAGAGAGAAAGAGAGAGAGCGAGAGAGAAATACAGAGAGACATAATGGAGAGAGCTTTAGATGCTTTACTTCACTCTGTATAGAGAGAGAGAGAGAGAGACACACACACACACACACACACACACATACACACAAAGACAGACAGAGATACTGAGAGAGAATGGAGGGATGGGAAAGAAAAAGAATGAAAGATTAAAGCTTGGGTGGGGGAGACATATAGAGAGTCCCCTAGCATATGCCTTTTAAGGGAATATTATTGCATGACATATTGTTTACGACCCCTTGACTTTTAAAGCTTGTGTAAGAAGAGACAGGAAAAGACCTACTGTAGCTGAATCTATTATTGATTTTGTAACCGAGCAGAACGAAAGACGTCTTACAGCCCGATAAATTACGTTCTAAAAATAGCAATAGTTAGGAAGTGAACGTCATGATGTACCTTTAAATCATCATGACTTTAAACCTGGGACATTTCCGGACTGAGTCAAAATGCTAACAATAATAAAACAATTGAATACGAAAAAGTAAAGCAAATTAAATAAATAAGCGGGAAAATGCTAATGTAGAAAATATTCAATTGCGGATCCGAGCTTATTTGCAGGTGAGGGAAAGGCAAAAAAGCCTAAAAAATACAATTGTTAAAGAAATATTTGACAAGAAAAACAAACTTCATGGGGGAAAACAAAGGACAAAAAAGTACCAGCGTAAGACGCGTTAAAAAGACACACCCTGTGTCCTCGTGGATCTGCCACTAATAAGAAATATCTTGAAGCAGGATGAAATGTGTAACATTTCTAATTTTTAAAAATACACCATTTTACATATTTTACAAACCTGCAATTAGCAAATAGACAAATTGATATAACAACGGTAAGGTCATTCTTTCAATTTGCTTAAAGGGAGGCTTTACTACTTCAGCCAGAAGGGATTGGCCACCCAGTGAGCCAGCGAGGTCACTGTGACAGGTGGCTATCTCATTAACTCAGCTCTCATTTAACATAAGAAAAAGAGGATCATTGGGGACCAACAGGCACCGATTTGGGAAGTTTTCTATATAGAGGGAGCAAGTAGCTACAAGTAGGACAGTGTGCCTTTAAAAGGAGTACAGACTGACGTGACTACGTGTCTTTCCCGTGGCCTGACTCAGGGCCAATCGGGTATCGACTACGGACGACGCGTCCGCAGCAATCACGTGCGTGCAACATTCGCGAAACCGAAACGTGAGGAGAACTTCGGTCTGTTTCGCGAACGCTAACCATGCAGAGATTAAGTCGCTGACTACCGTTAATCAAGTCCATTCGTTTACATACAGTTGGTCAAAAGAAGACGTAGATGGCGTTAACCAGTATTTGCCAAGGTACACAGCCTTTAATAGTACACATTGCATGCCCTCAAGTTTTGTATGTGCGCTGACGAGCGGATGAGCATCAATGAATTGCTTGCACAACCACTCCCCTTGTGTTATTCATAAGATAGAGAATAATAGTACTGTATCGAATTTCCTCCTTTTTCCCCTTTTCCCGATAGTGGAAAATATGAATATTACAAATATAGGGTTGAACTATTATAGTACGCTCCAGGGTATTCGCGATCCGTTCATCTATTGCCCAGCGTCTCATTGGATCACGTAATTATGATGGGGGCCTATTGTTAAGATAATAATTATTTGCAGATAAAAAAATCCAGGCCTTTCTAAACAGAAATACATGTTCGTGACGCACTGTATTACTCGTCCACATAACACGGCAAATAGTTTCTGGGAGGGCATTGCAAATAATTCTCTGAAGTTAAGATCACAATGTCACGAATACATAGGCTGCTCCTTTACGATAGTAGAGAATATTTTTGAAGTTCAAGGGGCATTAAAATGAGTGTGAATTTTTATGTCTATAAGTTTCGCAAATAAAAGTATATTTCTTTTTGATAGTTTTTGTCTGATCTAAGACCTATTTTATTTTGTGGTTATTTTTGTCATTTTCCCGAGCTCTGATTAATGCACGCCATAATCAAAAACATATGACGGCGATTGGTATTTTGAAATTTTATTCCAAAGTTTACTCCAAACTGGATGTGAGATTGTTTAAATATTTCTTTGTTATCATTTTTGTCTCGTCTCAGACCGAAATTCGTATTTGTTATTTTGTCACTTTCTCGAGCTAATAAATAATATGTTTTAATGCCTATATTATAATAATAATAATAGGCAATTTTATGGCGCCGTCTATCTAGACATTCTATTCCGATGCACATTTATTATTACCCCGGCTTTAGCCTAGCTGACATCGCAGCGCTTCAGCATTTTAAGGAATTAATTCCTGCCAGGT